CAACTTTCTCAGGAACGAAGAATGAAAATTAAAAATTTTATTCCATATATTCCATATATTCTTATTTTTTCATGAAATTTCATATCGATCGATTAATTGATTTTTAATTTCACTTGACTGTTCAAAACTATCAAGCAGTAATCAGTTGCTTTTTAAACATACCTGTAATCAATTATTTAGAACAATCATAATCAATTAATCATTGTTAAAATAAAGCAATAATCTTGATTAACTTTTGTAATTTGTAATCAATAATTTTTTTAAATCATTAACTTATATTTTATTGGAATCGGCGATGCGTTATTTCTTCACATATTATTATTTCTTGCTATAACACGTCACAAATATATAACTTGCTATAATTCTCTGATATATTTTTAATATAAAAACGAGTACGTAAGAATCTCAAAATTTTGATTATTCGGCAAGTTTATCGTTAAAATTATCACATTATACAGAACAGCATCATGCCAATAACCTAATCTAAATCTAACTTAAACCTAATTCGCCTAATTACCACCTAACTCAAGAATTATTTTTTGGATATTTGGAACAAATCCTGATAAAGATTTGCAGGGTTGTGCACATTGCAAAACAGTACAAATAGTACAAATAGTAAATATGTAGGTAGAAGTAAACCACCGATGCGATCATGATCAAAAGTGTAATCATTTTATGATTAATTATTATAATTATATTATTATATTATAAATTAATTATAACCTTTGATCACAATAATTTTTATTATTTCCCTTATTCATTAATTCTTGATTACTTGATTATTTGATAATCGGTAATCATGATTAATATCCTGATAACTGCATTCATCATCATTAATTATTATTCAGATTGCGTTTCGCCCAATTCTGTTACCAAGTAATTACGAAGACAAATAATATTATAATATATTACACTAATTTGAATAGCCTCGAGAACAAAGTTCCCATGAATTTGATGGATTTACATAGGAATAATTATCGAAGAATAACTCTAGATGAAGAGTTCCCTCGAAACGAGAGATCCTGTTCATTACAATAATCGGGTAACGTCATCATCCTGCTTGTCCTTTTTAGCTTTAATTCTCCGTTGTTTCTTGCTCGAATTAGTTCCATTCAAAAGATAGTTGAAAACAAACGGATGCATTGTTACCTCGCAGAGCATTGTTTCCGGCGATTCTGGAGTTCATGTCCGCCTCCCTCCCTTAACGAAGCGATTGCAACAAAAAATAGCAAGTAAAAAATAAATAAAATGGCAAGTAAAAAGCAATTTCACCATAAGTTTTCCGCGTTGCGCAACGATGCTTTTTTCCTTTTCCCCGTTCGAACTTCCAGGAAAGTTCCCTTCGTGGTTTTCACAAAAGTACGTGCCCCTTTGTGTCTGCGGTTCTAAAGGAAAACGCCGTATGTCACGATTTCAAAAAAAAAAAAAAAAACATTCGCATATACGCATCAATTGAATTGTACCGCCCCTGGCCATTGAATTAAGAGCATTCAAAATTTTCAATGTTCTACATGTTTTTTGGTAAGATTAAAGCATTTGAGGAAAATTTAATTACAAATTTTTTTAATTATTAAAATATTCCGTACGTGCGTACTAATGATTAATATAAATGGCGTCTCGAATTTAAATGTCAAAAACATCAGGATCGTATAGAGGATTGATAAAAAAAAGTTCTTTTGATGATTTTTTTGGAGAAAATTTTAAAGACTCCTCTAGAATATTTAATCGTGTTATCATTCATATCGTCTATTCAACATTACCGACACGTTATATATATATATCTATTCTTAGTATCAATATGATATAAAGATCTTTTTACGAAAGAAATACAAGTAATTATCAATTTGATATAGGAAACAATGTGCAAAATGATTTTTAGATGATGGGGAAAAAAATCATATATTTTCGTTTCTTCTAGAGTTTTAAATCAAATTTTTCAACTGGTCGTTTGAACAGGTTGGTGCCAACGTTCAATATTAATAAAAATATTATTCAAAATGCTGATTTCTTGCAGCAATGCAAGCATTGATTAACTGCAGCTAAATATATTTGATACACTATACAATTTTTTTATTTTTTTTATTTGCTCTCCCGCTGCTCGAGTTGATTAGCATCGAATAAACTAATTGCGTAAGTGAGAAAAATGAAAATTTTTTTGTTTCTTTTTTCGTGATTTTCTCTAAATTGGAGCAACAAATAAATCTTTCAAAGAACTCTTTTTTTTTATTGTTAGTTTATCGATCCTCTGCACGTTCTCAAAATTCTACATTTAAGTTTGGAACACTATGTACCACTATGTACATGCTATCTTATTATTTGCTCAGGGAGCAAAAATTGTTACAAAAAAAAATTAACAATTGAAAGTTATTTATTGTTGAGTCTGAAGATATCGATCTCAAAATGTAAAGAAAATTTCTCGAAAAGCTGCACGATTGAAAATTTAAACGTCTTGCTTACAAATAACAATTACGAGTGAACGAACATTTCTCTCGTTGTTGATAATCATGATCGATGATGGGAATTCTATTTCGGTTGCTCATAACAGTGATCGATGGGGGAAATTTATTTCGGTTGCTTATAACGAGTTGTCGGCGAGGAAAATTCTATTTCAGTTGCCCATAACAGTTATCGATGAGTGGAAACTCCATTTCGATTGCTTGCGATAATGTAAAATATAAAGTATTGCTCTGCAATTGTCAGCAACCGCATTAACATTAGAATTACCAGAGTGGTAAAAATCACCAATTTATAATTTTTCAGAATATAATTCTGCAGACTTCACAACGTTGTATTTTTGGATAATTTGGATAATTTTTTATAAAGTACATGAATAAAAGTTTGTTGTCTTTTATTATATTATAAACATTTTACTATTCATTGTGCACTCTAATTTCTATGATATACAATCTTTATGCTTTGTTGTTAGTCGTCGGTAGTTCTAGTGCTAAAAACATTTTAAAAATCGTGGAACTAGTTACTTTCTGATGTAAATCTCGCGAAAATTAACGAAAAAAGAAATTCCCTTTAGTGATAACTGATAACTATTATGGGTAGAGCTACTATCATTCATAAAATCACAAATTTAGGGCAAAGAGCATAAAAACTGGATTTTTCCTGAAAAAACTCGGCACTTCTAAGCCTCCTTTATACTTTAAATTATTAGAATCCCAATACACTAACTATTACACATAAGTTAGCATAAATGTGTGATGCAACAGCTCATTCGAACTGCATTTGCTTCTAATGCTGGGTCCACACTGGACAGAACTGCTCGCGAGCAGTTCGCGAGCTGCTCGCCAACACAAACTGCATCGAATCCACACTGCTTGTTGGCGAACAGCTCGCAGTTTCAGGCTTGTTCGCTTGGTGCTTGCGGGCAGGTCGTTGTAGACGTTGCTGGCGTGCACAGGGTCCAAGTTTGCGAACAAATTCTTTGATGTTTGCCAACGCTGTTCGCCAGCAACAGTGTGGACGCGGCATAACGCGACGCTTGAAAATCGCTTCTCAAAAGAAATGCATTGCTGTCCATTGTGTCAGTATAGATGCGTTTGACATACGTCACATCGTCGAATATGCAATGCATATATAGCATAACACGTATGTAAGCAATCCCAAAACGCCTTAAAAACCAGGACAAATCCGGGGAAAGCGGGACAAATGGCAGCCCTAATTATAGGATGTACTACAGTATCCCCGAAAGCAATATTTTTGTTCCAAATCTGTCACTACAGAGAGATTTTGGTCGTGAAGCGTTTAAAAGTCAGCGTCATTTCTCACGGAAATTTTGACGAGATGTGCATATGTAAAGTTGTGTGAAAAAGTTTTATATAAAACTTTGATATAAATTTATTATACACAAAATTATATCTAACAATTAATATTTTAAAATGTCTTTAATATTTTGTAATAAATCGGTGCTTTTTGACTCTTTTCGAGATGCGACTGCTTTTTAAAATACCAAGCAATTTGTAAGCCTTTCCTCGCCTTAGATAAAAAGAAAGAAAGTATTTTTAGTCAAGTGAAGGAAGTATTGAAAATAATGTTACGTTATTAATAGAATATAGCAACGGAGTTCTATATTACAACAAATAGGTATTAAAAGCGTTTCAACTAAAAATAGTGGCAGTGATCGTCGAGGAAACATTTCGCAACTCCCGCGGGGATCGTGATTTATAGGAATGCAAGCAATAAATGAAGTTTCACTGTACCAAAATTTTGTAATTAACTTTAAACGATACTCAATTTATTCTAATTTCCCTTGGGAAAACACAGATCTATAGATCTTATGATTTTATTATCCTAACTTAAAAATTCGCATTATTTCCCTATTTTGACCTTTTTCCACTCGTATACGCATGTTCTTATGTACATTTTATTCTT